ATTGGTGCAAAAAACTAATGCATTCTTTTATTTGCATAACAGCCACATTTTAAGTTTTAAATTCAAAAATCTTTCTTTGCAAACATTCAGGTGTTTTCCAAAATAATAGTTTGCTAGTCAGACAACTTCCTTTCAGTGTTTTCTCAATATGTATTTTTTCATCCTAGTGAAAAACTGTTTATTGAGATGCTTCAAAATTCTGCTTGATATAAGCTTGTTTTCTTGCTTATTCTTTTCTTAACTTCTTTTTTTTTGATCTTCAGGATTAACAGTTTGATTGTTAGTCTTTCTTTTTACTTTATTGTCTTAACAAAACTTTCTAAATTTGAAACAGTTTCTTCCTAAATATTCCAAAATGTGAATAATGTGCAAATGTCTTAAAAGACCCTAAAGGCTGGTTGAATAAAAAAAAGCAATTGGTTTTACTCAGTAATTGGTCAGCTTTACATGGATAAAAATTTAGCAAATTTGCTCAAATTCTTATTCATGTAAAGCTGAGCAATTACTCAGCGTCTTAAATTACTTAACTTTACATGAATAAAAATTTGAGAGATTTTGCTCAAATTTTTATTCACGTAAAGCTGAACAATTACTTCAAAAACTAAATTCAAAAAACAAAAACTTCAAAAAGTAAATGAAATTGCTTTTTTTTTTATTCACCCGACCTTAAATATCAAATTTAATTCCTAAATAAACAAATAAAAAATGTTACTTAAGATATTGATTTTATTATAGTTTCTTGTATGCAAGTTGTTTAGAGAGCTGGAGAACACTTTTCTAAAACAGTGACAAGAATGTTGTTTGGATGACAAGCTATATGGAATTTAAGTGAAAAACAGCTTTAGTAACTGAAAAAAGGCTGACTTAGTTATCAAACAAGGAATTAACCTGATTCATTGGGATGACAGGAAGACTTCTATGGTAAGATATTAGATTTAAAAGATTAATTTCTTTTCAACAGAAAGAGCTCTTTAATAATGAAAATTAAAAAAAAGTCTAATATAGTTAGCTAAGATGAAAGATATAATTTCAAAGACCATCATAAAAAAGACCACAAAAAGAACTCAGTTAGTTTAAAGATAGTAGCAAAAAGTGTTGTGATAGGGATTTTTATTAAAAAAATCTTAAATAACTTGTAAAAATTAGTTATTTAAGATATTTTATTTATTTTTGTCAACAAATAAACTGTCAACTGTCAACAAATACGGTCAATTTTGTCAACAAAAAAAATGAACCAACTTTTTTGTGGTTAAACTCAAATAATCTTTTAAAACTTATAAAAAGCTACTCTAATAATAAACATTTCAGAAGTGTTGTTGTAAACTCAATAGAATTAGATAAGGTTTTATTTTTTGATTTAAAAGCTTTAACTCAAGTCAAAGACTTGAGCTAAAGACGTTTATTTAAACTTAAGCTTTAGATCTTAATTCAGGCCTAATAATCTGATAAAACAATACCATATTTAATAAAAAAATTTCTTTAAAAAAAAAATTAACGCTAAAACCTTCCTGTTTATGATAAAAAATAAACTTACAGTTGTTACCAAGTGTAAGTTATATATATATATATATATATATATATATATATATATATATATATATATATATATATATATATATATATATATATATATATATATATATATATATATATATATAATTTACATAAGCTTTTAAGTAAAACTATTTACAAGTTTTCACAGGAAATAATCACATGAAAAATCCTCAGGAATAAACACTAAATGTTTTTTAAAATAAGTCTTGATTTTTGAATTGTATTTTATTGAAGTTTAAAGAGCATTTTCTTACAAAAAATGTTTTTTTTTAATGATCATTTAAATAAAAAGTATCAAATGTACAATCATGGCTTTAATCAAAATTACAGAGAATATTATCTTTGTTCAGACAAATTTGTCTGAGACCCAAACATTGGGAAAATTAAGTCTTACTCCAAATGTATTTGGATTTCATTATCTCTTATTTCTGATTCAATATCATTGTTTCCATCCAGGTTTTCTGCTTCATTGTCTACTGAAAATTCTTTATTTGTATCATCATCATTGTACGAATATCCTTCATTTTTGCATTTTATTTTCTAAATTTATATATGTTTTATTATTAAAAAGTTATGATTTATCATTAAAAAGAAGCAAATTATAATAATAATAATAATAATAATAATAATAATAATAATAAATATATATATACATATATATATATATATATATATATATATATATATATATATATATATATATATATATATATATATATATATATATATATATATATATATATATATATATATATGGCAATACTGACCTAACTGCTGACCTGAAAGTGTTTGAGGTCGGCTAAAAATTGCCGACCTCGTTTCTATGTTTTATAGTCAGTTTTTTGTATTAAGTAATTTTTGCAGACCTCAAAAACATTGAGGTTGGCAAATTATTGCCAACTTATTTTATCTAATCCCGAGAGTTGTATATATATGTGTGCACACACACAGATATATATATATATATATATATATATATATATATATATATATATATATATATATATATATATATATATATATATATATATATATATATATATATATATATATATATATATATATATATATGTCATCGAGTACATTACCGTTCATATATGCAAATCTAGCTTAAAAAAATAAGTTTTTTCTGATTTAAAGTTCACCAACCACTGGGAGCCCCTGTACTTTACTGCTGTAGCAGAAATGAGATCTCTTTCAAGCTCAAATACCTCTTCAAGCAATCAGAGAGTGTTGGCTTCTTATCAAGACAAGAAAAAATGATAGTATCATCAGCAAACAATGCCACAATAGATGTGAGAATTTCAGGGAGGTCATTAATGCAAATTTAAAAAAGTATAGGGCCAAGGATAGTCCCTTAAATTCCAAAGTTACAGGAAATAAAGAAGATTGTCCATCAAAAAGAGCTTATGGAGAAGACCACCATGGACCATGTCAAACCTTATAAAAGGCTTAAGAAATGACAAGAGCGATAGTCTTAACCTCTCCATATCTATCTAATGTACAATAAAACCTATCAGTTATTACTGCTAATAAATCAGCAGTAGAACAAGTAGATCGAAATCCATAATGATGATCAAAAAGTAAGTTATAAGATTCAAGATAAGAGATCAATTTTATAATTTTTGAATTTTTTTTTAAATTTGTTAATTCAAGACTTAAAAATTATGCTTATGATAAGAAGACTAATAGGACGGTAGCTAGATAGGGAAAAAAGATGCTCCTTTCTAGCAGACCGGAAAACAAGACAATTCTGATAAGTACTTGTTAAATAGTTTTGAAAGTATAGACAACAACGTCGAAGAACACTTCTGCAAGACTATAACAGGTATATTGTCAAAACCATAAGCTGTAGAAGAGTCTAAGTAGGAAATCACCTTAAATACAGAAGTTGGAGTGATTTGAATGTCAAGCAATGGTTCAACCTGTTTGTTTGCTATATCAGGTAGGATGTGATTAGTAAAATCAAGAGATAAAATTGATGAAAAGTTTTTAGTTAACAACTCAGCTTTTAGGTGAAGTAACAAGTGACTTTAGGTGAGGTAACAATATCTGAACTGTGCAAGAGAGGTGGAATAATAGATTTGCCCTTATTATAGGTACTGCTCAAGATTTTCTTTGGCGTCAGACGAAACCTTTTTACAATGGTTTCTAGCAATAGTAAACAGATGTCTGTTTTCTAACAAAGCGTTTTGGCAATAGATATGGAAGTAATGATTATGATTGGAAATTGCAGCAGGACAATAAAAGAAAAACCATGGAAAACTGTGAGGCTTGATACATACATAGCAGATACATACCTGGTAAAACCTTATACTGAAATATCATTAAAGTGTTTTCACAATTTTTCATAAAAGTATTTGAAAAATAATTTTTTTTTTTTTTAAACATTTTCACTTTAGACAAGGCTGAAACCACTATTAGAGTTAGAAGTTACTGGAAGAAAAAAGATGAAGATTGTAGTGCAAGATAATGATTGACAGACGACTTAAAAGAGTGCAAACTTATGAATCAGGAAAGCAAGATGAAAGAAGCATATTTTAAGAACTGATGTTTGAGGAAAAATCTAAAGGAATAAGAGTTTTTGGAGCATTTAGGAACAGTCACAGAAAAAGGATGAGACTTAATTAAATGACGAGTAACACAAGAATGAACTTAGGTAGATGGCACAAGAGAGGTTAGCTCTTTAGAGCAGTACCCATTATTTGTTGCAACTAAAAAAAAACATTTCTTTTTTACAAGAAGATAACAATACATATATTATAGACAGAAAAATACATCATTAATAGGTGCTTTAAATAAAAAGTTTCTCTTTCCACAAGACTGAAGTAATTTATTTTGAAAACTATTATGCATTAAATATGTACTTGTATTATGCTCTCTATTTGCTATATGCTACTCTATTATGCATTAAATATGTACTTGTGCTAACTGGGTAAGTTCTATTCTTCTCATAAAGGTTACTAAAAATGTTGAATGTCTCCTGATATGTTTTACTTTGTTAGTGGATATTACATTGCAAAAAGCAGATACTACATAAGATCAGAAAAGGTACCATATTGTCGATAGCATGCGCAAAATATATTGGAATGCCCATGGATGATCAGGACAAACCATGGGCCTCTCATGTGATATGTAGAACCTACAAAACTACTCTAACAGAATGGATACTTGGTAGAAGAAAGGCAATACCTTCTACTGTTTCCAGAGTATAGAGAGATGAAGAACCATCACAATGACTGTTACTTTTGTATGAATGATATTATGAAGTACAGAGACTGTTCCTTGGAACTAGAGTTGGCATTCGACAATGTTAAACTAACTGCCAACCTGAGATTGTCTAAAGAAACCAATTTTTTTTTCAATTTTAAACAGAACAATTAAATCAAAATGAAATAAAGAGTGTTTTATTTAAATTTTGAATTTTTTACCAACCTTATTTTTCCTAATTCTGAGGGATTTAACTTAATTAAACAAAAAGTACTGTGCATTTATTTTCCAATAAAGTTTTGACTACTTCTGCTGTTTATGTCTATTTTGAAGCCTTGTTTCAGAGTGTAACACAGTTATGACAATCATGCAGCAAAAGTTTCTTACAAAAGTTTGAATGACAATTACCTTCGATATATGTGCTATTTACAAATGAAATAAATTCAGATGAAATTAAAAACAAAGAGAATTTAATTTTCATTTCAATTTTATTTTGAAATATCGCTAAATATTGTTTAGCAATAAAATACTTTTTTAAACTTATTTTTATCACAATTCTTTTTTTATTTTTTATCAAAAATTAAATTTCTTATAAACGTGTTTTAAATGTACATTTTTTAACATGCCTACATTTTTCATAAAGCAAGAGAAAAAGCAACAGTTTATATTACAATTTATATTAAAAGCAACGGTTTTCTAATAAAGGATTTTTTTTTTAAAAAAATGAAAACCTAAAAATGCTAGTAAAGTAATTCAATATAGTTTTTATTTTTCAATAAGTTATATTTTTTATTCTTTATTTATCTACTTTAAAAAAAAACAACACATAACTAATTGCAAAAAATAAATAAATTTGTGGGTAATTACAAATTTAATAAAAATAATAAAAATCATATTTTAATTCTTATATACGAATGCCAGGAAAAGGACAAAATTAATTTATTTTAAATATTTTTTAAAATATAACATTTATATATGTGATATCTAGTTATTTAATATTATTATATACTAAATATAAAAATATATAATATATTTTCATAATATAGTTAATTTTTCAATTGAACTTGTTGTGTAGTAATTTATTATATACTTTAAAAAAGTATACTAAAGCGGTACTTTAAAAAAGAAAAATTCCCGTTTATAAAAAAAACAAAAAAACAACAAATTTATGATGTCAAAGTCACATAAGCTAATGCATTAACATGTAAAATCAATAATGGAAAGTCACAAAAAGATTTACAGAGTTTTCAGAAGTTAAACATAATTTTGATATGGATTATGTAGCTTACATTAAGCTAATGCATATACTTAAAACAAGGCCTAAAGTTGCTTTATGTTACTTTTTCATTTTTTTACAAATGTAGATGCAATGAATATTTCATCTCAGGAATCAGCTAGTAACAGTAGGGAAGCCACGGAGGAAGTTTTTGTACCAAGCTTTTGTACTAGGTAAAGATATGTGACATGTGTGTACCCAAAATGACATTAAGAACTTGATATTTACTATAACATGTGTAATGATCTATGATATTGTAAAAATGTGAATAATTTGTTTACTTCTCTTAGACTCCAGGAAAATCTTGCACAATGGCAACTATTTATTAATACCTCAAAACAATGTCTCAAAGCAGGGTTGCTCCAAATTGGAAATAAAAATTCATCTTGCCTCTTGCACACGTGGTACAGAAGAAAAAAGACATCAACGATGTCAACAAACTTCTTGACAAAATTATTTTGAATTAAAGTGGGATGTTTGCGGTGATTTCAATATGCTTGCTTTTATGTTTAACCTGCATGGGAATACACATACTTAAATTAAATATTAAATTTTCCTTTGCTTATAGGACAGCAGGGCTGATAATGATCATTATATGAAAGTTTAATAAAGTCCTCAACTATTTTGTACACTTTTTACATGTTTTATAATGGTAACTTGAATCCAGACAGTTTTTTTAAGAAAAAAGTTTTTTTTTAAAGTAATAAAAGTTATATCTGTATAGTATCTGACTAATGGGAGAAATCTAATGGGAGACTGCAGGCCTTGCGATAAAGCGTCGGGCGATGTGAATTTTACGTCGTCCAAGAGCGATTTTGCGTGTAGCTAGGGCTATTTGCGTCGAGCAAAAAATTTTTTGTTTGAGTATATTTAAAGATATTTTTGAGCGGAATTTTAATGAAGTAATTTACGATTATTTCAACATTTAATAAAGTATTTTAAAAACCGCACGCAGTTGAAATAAAAGTTTGAATTTAAAAAAATTAAATATGCTCATTATTTACAAGTAGAAAAAATTCAAAAATTAAAAAAAAAGTTTAAATCTTTTAAGCTAACATTTAATTAAAATTATTCAGCAATAGCAAAGCTGTCGATAAAATTGAACAAAAATACTTTCTTTTAGTTTTAGATTTTAAACTTAAATAATTATTTTACGGGGGTTTGTTAGGTTTTAAAATTATTCCATAGATTTAAAAATATTTATTAACTGTTGGACGTATTTAAAGTATTTAAGAGTAATTTCGAGGAAACATTTTAAAAATTGGTGAGGACAAATAAAAAAATAAAAAAGGATTAATATTAAAACGTATTCTACTTGATTCAATAAAAAAGTACAGTTATTAAAATTTTTGTAAAAAGTAACTCAAAAAAATTACTTAAATAATAACGATCGCTTTTGTGTTAAAAGTTACCGAAACTCAACGAAGCGTGCTCAAGAACAGCTGCTGAAAAATAGAACGTCAATAGTTTTTCGAATAATTTTTAAGAATAATTTTTAAGAATAATTTTTTCGCTGAAATATTTCTTTTATACCTATAAGATTTTTATTCTAACATTTTATTTTATTTTACTAGAAATAAAATTCCTTGTTAACATTAAAAATTATTCAAAACGTTCGTTTAAGTTTTTTATTAATACGAGTGATTGTGCTTATCAACCGCTTTTTGAAAATAAATATAAATAAATATTATATAAAACCGCTTGTAAAAATATTAGCTATTGCACAGTTTTTAATCGTACAATATTAAAATTTCCAGTTTATTACTCGCTGACTTTTTAAAAAGAAAAAATAATTATTTGAAAAACTTTAAATTACATATTTAAGAAAAAAAAAATCAAATATTAGCATATTTAATAATCTTTTTTAAATTTAAGTTATAATGTTTTTTATTCGTTTAGTATAGACAAAACGTGACAAACGTCGAGAAAATAAACAAATGTTTTTACATTTTAAAAAACGAAACATTCCAAAACATTTTTAAATAATAACATTTCTACATAAACGATTTAAAGTAGTTTTGTGGTAATTAAGTAAATTGGTGCAGTTAATGTCGATAAATATGAAAAGCAAATAAAAAGAATTTAATGACGTCAAAAATCACGTCGTGCTTATGCGTCGCGCAGTTCTTATTCATCGCAAGGCCTGAGACTGGGGACTAAGGGGACAAAGATTATTCAATGTTTTCAGCCTCTAGAAGATTCCAACAAAGTCTTATTATTCTTACTGCATATCAAACTAGGATTAAAAAAACAGTTTAAAAAAAAACAAATTTTATATTACACTTGTAAAAGCCTTAGATTTTGGAAGAAAAGCTTTACAAGAAATTTGTCTCATGTTTTCAAAGCTAGCTGAGGCAGAGATCAAAGTTGGTATATTTGTTGTTCCAAATAAAAACAATGTTGAAATCAGAGAAAGTCAAAAGAGCAATGATAAAAGTTTAAAAATAAATTTTGTGACATTGTTCATGGATTCAATTCAATTGCAAGGACTCTTTTTACAAACAAATAGTTACATAGTTTATTGAAAAATTCAAGAAACTGGGTTGTTATCCCCAGGTCCAAAAGGATTCATGTATTGTATTTTCACTTAGATTTTCCCCCTAAAAACATAGGTAATGTCAGTGAGGAGCATAGTGAGAGATTTCATCAGAACATTGAAGTAGTTATCAAGGACGACAGGATACTGTTATGATACAGCGATTATACATGGTCTCTAGACAGAAAAGTTGAAAGCATTTACTCATCAAAGCATGCACATCATCAAAACCAGCAGTTTCCAATCTATGGATTGTGACCCTAATGGGATTGCCTCTCAACTTGCCAGGGTTGCTATTAAACTTTCTGAAAATAATTTCTTTATGCTAGTCAGTGGTTTCTTTTTATCATTTTAAAATTAAGCGATATTCATACTCTGACTACAGTCATTACACCAAAGTGACATACAATTATTGATTAAAATTGATTCATTCGAGCGACAGAACCCGCTTCAAGAATTTCAGATTTGACAAGAAAGAAGTAAACAGTCTTCTCACAGACATTTTTTGGGTTTTGCAACCTTCACATTTTCATAGTTATAATTGAACTTCTTCAGCTTTATTTTTTTTACAATTTTTATGAACTAAAGTATGAACTTTTGAACTAAAGTATCAAGTCAATTGTATACGACTCTTAATTTTATAATCTACATTGTACAATACACACACTTTAAATATTGTTAAGTTTTAAATATTTTAAGTGCACATTGTGGAATGTAATTTGTACAACTAAGAGTCACACACTATCTAAACTTTAAAATTGAGGCTTATAAAATGTTTAAAATGTAAACATTTTACTCCTCTACAAATATTAACCAAATCATATAATTGACTTGTTGATAAACTATTATAAATCAAATATAAAAAACTATTATAAATCAATTATAAAAACTATTATAAGTCAATTATAAATAAATTTTTAATAAAAAAATATGCTGCCTATAAAGTATAAAATAAAAATATAATCAGAAATTTAGAAGTCAAAAAACATAAGTTAGCTGCAAAAAATGTAGCGATTTACGAGGAACCTTGTCAATTTTATTTTTGGGGTCACCACAACTTGGTAAAGCAAAGGATGGCAACATCGCAAAGATTGGGAATCACTGATCAATGCACTTCTCTTTAACTTACTTTTTATCTATTATTGTTCTACTTTTTTAGTTAACGCAAATTAATCAACTAAATATTTAGTGAAACTAAATTTAGTCGACTAAAGCAATAACAATTTTACACATGAGGAAGCTTTATTAAGGCGATAGATACTATATTGAAATTAAACACTTTACTAATTGTGAATCCTAGAGCCCCGTCGAACTAAACTGTTATTCAAAAAAAATGTTTTAAGCAAAATTTGATTATTTTTATTTTTTCCCAGCTTGGAGACAACTGCCTATGAGATTGTTGCAACTGTTTATAAACACCCAATCAGCATGGAATGTACAAATAATGCCCTTTAGTCAATTAAATCAAATTTGGTATGCTTATTGAACATTTAACTAATATTTTTTATGTGCTGCATCCTATAGGTAGTGTGCAATAATAATTGCATATCAAAAATAGTCTCTCCTGCCAAGGCCGTACCGACGGGGGTGTGGGCACCTTCCCAGGTTTACAAAATTCTGTCGGTTTTGTCAGTAATTTGGAAAAACTGAAATTTGGCTTTTAAATAAAATAAAAAAGCCCTACTTTTGTGAAATTCTCATGCCAAATTTTTTTTTTATTCCCCCCCCCCCCTCCTTCGTCATCGTTGTTCAGTACAGCCCTGTCCCCTGCCATATTATAGAAACGGATTCAATCTCTAACTTTCACAATAAATCTACGACTCCCCCTTCCCCCCTTTAAATATCAACCTCTCATAACAATTGACAACCACACCAAATACAAAAAAAAAGAAAAAAAGAAGAAGTTTTAAAGGTTAGAATTTATAATAAATCATAAATTACTTTTATTTTGGTTATATTTTCTAAATAGAAAAAAGCAAGAAAACGACTGAAAAACAATTGGGAAAATTTTACAAAACCAATATATCAATTTTTTTTGCACTGATTAACTAGCTTAATGCTTAATGTTTAGCAAGCTAAACATTAAGCATTAACTAAGCAAGCTAAACATTAAACATTAGGCATTATATACTAGTGAAACTAATTTTTCAAATTTAGGAAAAGGTATAAAATGGAAAAGGTATAAAATGAAATGAAAATAATTCTTTTTTAAACATTTTTTAAAATTTATGTGAAATTAAAAATATTTTAATTGTTTAACAAAGACTGATTTTTTTAAAAAAAAGCAAAATTAAAAGTTTTGGACACTTGTTTAGTTTACTGATGTAATTACTGATAAGTCTAAATGATTTTCTCTGAAAGAATAAACCCTCAAATTGAATGAACATGCTTTTTATTGATAAAAAAAGAACTTCATTTAAAAAATAATTATGTAAAACACTTGCAGTGTTTATTTTTGCATATACAGTTTTCAGAAATATAATTTTTTTTTTGTTTTTAAGTAGCAATGTTTATCCACATTGATTCATAATAAATCACTTATTTCCTTGTTTTCTGCATAAAATGTGCTTCTCATGTCAAAAACATATATAAGAAAAGTAATTCTTGGCTGTTTCTTTTTCTTAAAAATCTTTGATAAGACACACTTTAATTTCCTTTTTATAAAAAATTGAATGTAAATAATAAAAACAGTAATAAATATTGACAAAAAAAATTTAAGTGTAAATTTTAACTAAAAAAAATATGTGTGTAAAAAATGTAAATATTAACAAAAAAAAAATGTTAGTGAAAAAATCAATAGATAAGTTCATAAGAAATATATAATATCAAATCAATAACAAACCTGATTTTTTTTGTTAAACTTTCTCTGTTTATTTTCATTATCACTTTCATTTATGTTATTTTCTGCTTGCTGATTTTCAACCCATTCATCTGAGAATTCATCTTCTACATTATCTTCCTTTTTTTTATCAACAATCGAGGTTTCTAAAACAGGTTGCTTAGTAATTTTTTTTTGGATTGTCCTTTTTTTTAACTCTTTTCTTAAATGCATTCGTTCTTCCTTAAGAATTGTTTCTTCCCCAGGGGCAAGTTTCCCAAATAAACGCTTATGTTTTTCTTCTTTTAATTTTTGTCTGAGTTTTCTAGCTAAAACATCTTCATCATCACTCAATGGTTTATCTCGTTTTAACAGTTCCCTCAAATCTACAGTTGGTTTTAAATGTCTTGATATTTCCTGAAGTTCAATACGTCTTGTTTCTGTTTTTAATACATCTGTATGAGTCTGAGAATCACTTTCACTTGAATCTTCTGCAACCCTTTTATGAGTATAGCTACTTTTGTTTTCGGAGTGTCGTTTATTATTTCTCAATATTTTTCTTTGAGTATACCGTTGTTGTTTGCGCGCTTGTTCTTCAATATCAGCTACCATGCTTCCTGCATATTCTTTTTTTTTAGACTCTTTGATTGTGTTCGATCTTGAATATTTGTCAAGCTGCTTGTTGTTTTGGTCTCGTGATTTTAAAATTGCATACCTTGCATCATACTTACTTATCCCATTTTTATTATTTGTTTCACCTTTATCTAGCTCTTTCCCAGATCCTTTTGATTTTATTCGATTATCAGAATCATTAACATTAAAACAAACAGTAATCTGAGACTCATCGATGTTTATCACTCTACGATCTCTACTATGAGAATCTAAAGTTATATCCTCATTTGATTTAACCTAAAAAAATATGAGAAAAAAAATTATGCTGAAAACATTTAGATAACATTTTTAAAATAAAGCTTTTTAAAAATAACTACTAACATGAAGAACTTTCTCAATATTTTCATCATAAGTATCTTTTAAGATTTTTTCTTTGTCCATATTGTTATCAGAATTACCTTCTTCTTCATTATCAGTCACCTGCAAAAACAAAACAAAAAAACAAACAAAAGCAAAACAAGATTGTATATATATATATATATATATATATATATATATATATATATATATATATATATATATATATATATATATATATATATATATATATATATATATATATATATATATATATATATATATATATATATATATATATATATAAACACTTTTAGGTCAGCAGTTAGGTCTGAGGGATGTATATGTATGTATGTATGTATGTATGTATGTATGTATGTATGTATGTATGTATGTATGTATGTATGTATGTATGTATGTATGTATGTATGTATGTATGTATGTATGTATGTATGTATGTATGTATGTATATATATATATATATATATATATATATATATATATATATACAGTGGTTTTCATAAATTTAGACTAATAGAATAATAGAAAATTTTAGGTATTTTAACGATAAAACAATGACGAAAAAAGATTTCGGATTAGTTTTTTTTCTATTTATCAAATAAATACATACAGAATACAAAATTTAAAAAAAGTTTACAAAAAAAATGAAATACTAAGTAATAATTAGGTACAACTACATGGTATTAAAAAAATTAGACAAAAAAAATTATTCATAAATTTAGACGCACGATACATTAGAAGGCGTAATTTATGAACCAATCAATATTTTGTGTATCGGCCTTTTGCTTTAATACAACTAAGAACTCTTCTAGGCATAGACTCAACAAGATTTTTGCACATTGCTTCTGGGACCCCATACCAGATCTCCTTAAGGAATTCCTTCAGCTGACCAAGTGTGGAAATTTGAACCTTTGCTAATTCACGATCAATCCAAGCCCAAATGTTTTCAATCGGGTTCAAATCAGGTGAATATGGAGGCCACGGTATTGTCATAATATTATTATCGTTGAACCACTCCTTTGTATAGTATGCAGTATGTGCAGTAGCGCTATCTTGTTGAAGTTTCCATGGTTTATCATTGAGCATAAGCAGGTCAATTGATGGAATTAGGTTGTTTTCCAGTACTTCTACGTATATTCTGGAGTTGATTTTTCCGGTGTATGTTTGGCACATACCAACACCTTTGTAATTGAAGCATGACCAGATTCCTATCGAGCCTCCTCCACTTTGTACAGTTGGTCTAATGTACCTGGCGTAATACTTTTCGTGAGCCATTCTTTTGACTGTTATGTTAGATTTGCGATTGATAAGCTCAAAGTTACTCTCATCACTCCACATAATGTTTTCCCATTGATCTATTATCCAATACCTTCTTTCATGACACAATTTTAGTCTCCTTTGTTTATCATATGGACGCAGAAGCGGTTTCTTCAAAGCAGTGTAGACTCCAATCTTGTATTTGATAAGTATTCGGCGGACTGTGCTTTGAGAAATAGATGTATTTCGCGTTGTATTGAATTCTGTGGTCAATTCTTTGTAACTAATTCTTGGATTAGCTCTGACAGCTCTAAAAAGAACACTATCGTCCTTTCTCGTGGTTGACAAGGGTCTACCTGGCCTCGTTGGCACCACCAGTGTGAAGAAAGTTTTGTTTCGTTGTCCGAACGCATTTCTCAGAAACTCTAATTAACTTGGCGATTTCTCTATTACTTTTGGTTCCTTCTTTGATGTGCGCAATAATTTGCCATCTTTCACCTTGAGTGATACATCTTTTGCCCATTTTTTACTTTTTTTAGTGCAAAACTAACTAAACTTTTGTTTATTTATTAAATAATGATTAAATAATTCCAGGTAAGTCATATTTATATAAGGTTTTTTGACAAAACCAATTAATTTAGGCCTATTAATGAGAAATATATAAAAAAAAACTACTAATTAACTATCAATTAACAAGATATAAGACTTTTTTAATTGTGCGTCTAAATTTATGAACAAAATAAAATCAATTTTATCAATTAACTTTTTTGTGTTGATTGGTATAAAATGAGTAATAAACATCCTGTAAAAAAAATTAAGGTACTCTATAATAGAGTTTCATTTCCTCTTTTAAATTATATACCAAACATAGCGGTAGCACTTTTATTTTATTTTTATTTTGAGTATTTTCTTACATATATGAAAAAAAAAATGAATGCGTCTAAATTTATGAAAGCTACTGTATATATATATATATATATATATATATATATATATATATATATATATATATATATATATATATATATGTATATATATAAACACACACACACACACATAATTCTATTTGGATTGCAGAACCCAATAAAATGCAACATTGATGTATATGGTCTATAGTAACACACTCATCTTTTTTCTCATTGCAGCAGTCTTATTTATCAATTGGCAACTGATTTTGAGCCAAAGATTAGAGAAATGTTTGTAACTTTCAAATTTATTGACAGTTTTATTCTCTCTAAGAAAAATATTAATAAAATATTTAAAAACAATTATTTCTAAAAACTGTCACTTAACTGAATGATTTTTTTATTTATTTATTTTATGCAATATATGTGCATATTACATATGCATAATGTGTAATCAGAGGATATTCTAGACTGTTTTTCGTAGGATTTAAAGTATTTAAAAAAAAATTATTATATTTAACTTAAAAATAATTTCTATTAAATTGTATTTATTATTTTAAGTAAAGATACTACTTTTCAATTGAATTTTTTTTGAAATTATTTAAATGTGTATACAAATCAATTATTAAGATGTAAATAATAATCTGTCATTGTTCAGCAATTTATAAATCAATGATTTATTCATTTTATATTAAAAAATATTCATATTGCAGAGGTAATGTGGTGCCTTAAATATAAATGTGGCAGTATAACATTTATATTATTTTTATAATGGTTTATTTTTACCATTAAAATTTTAAACATTATGAATTTTTTTAAAATAATCGTATGTCAAAACTTATAATATATATGCTCAAATTTAGAACGAAGCAAAAGTTGATCAAAAATTGAAAAAAAATTAAAACAATTGAAAATATCAATTTTTAAATAGTTTAATACCTTGGTAACAAATTTAAAAAAATTTGAATCATACTTTATAAGAATAACCAAAAAAAAAAAATTATAACACATTTTTCTTAACAAACCACTACTTATTCTTTGTACAAAACAAAAAAGGATTTCAAAAAATCGACTCAAAATTCAAAAAATTTTAAAAATTTAATATTGTTTTAAAAAACGTCAAAAATAAACTTAATATTTGGATCTCCTTTACTTTGAATTATTGCATCATTCTTGAGGCATAGACTCAATTAATGACAATTCTCATAATAATCTCTTGTCAGGCCATCTCCATTTGTTCAAATTGTTCATCATTAGACCTCACGTTTGCACGCTCAATCTTATTGTCAATTATATCCCAGAAATTTTTATTGGATTCAATTCAAGGCTTTGTGCAGGCCACACCATTTTTGTGATATTCTTGTCCTTGAATTGTTGTTTTACAACTTTTGACTTATGTTTGGAGTCGTAGTTAAAAAATCCATAATAGGGGCATGAGACAACATAACATCTTCTATGATAAACAAATAGCACACACTATAAACATTAAAATATCTATAAAATAGTCATAATCATAGAAGTAATAAGAAAAATATTGTCACCAAATATTTTCCCGCATCAAAATATGGTAGATCATATGATATTTTCTGGTGACACACGGATACCACACATTAGTCATTTAGCATTTTACTTCAACAGACGAATTGCCAACACTAGGTTAGTGACACATATAGTAACATAGACCAAATGGCCATCATTTGTGAACTAACCATATGTGTCACAGAGGACTACCATGGGACGTGGGACTAAGTTAAATGTTGAAGAAGTTGCTATGATCAAGGCATTTAAGACAATATATCAACGTCTGAGATATTGAAACATATACAGGGAAGTTGGAAGGTGATCGAGAAGATTTTGAAGGATTCTGATACATATTTAAAAAATAAAATCCAACCAAAATGCTTCAAAATTAACCAAGCGTGACAAACGTAAAATACTACAGGTGGCTTCAAACACCGGCTGTAGTGTCCGATAGATACATGCCCAGCTGAATATTGATGTGTCATTACGTATGATATAAAGAAGGTTACATGAAGCTAAACATCTGAGGTATTAGATGCATATGTTAACGTTGGCCATGCGAAAACATTCATGGAGAAACGCATAGCATATGCAAACAAACATTTGTCTTGTCCACCTGATTGGGGCTCAATTATTTGGTATTATGAGAAGAAATTTAATCTTGATGGTCCAGACGGATATCAATATTATTGCTATGACTTACGAAAAGAGTCCTAGACTTTCTTGTCAAGACAAAATGGTGGTGGTGGCGTCATGATTTGGGGTGCATTTTCTAAGGCTGGATTATCTGAATTGAAGTTCTTAGAAGAGAAACAAACAGCTGAAGACTATATTATTACACTCTCTGATTACTTAATGCCATAATGCCATATGGGCATGAGTTATCTTGCATAAACACAAAACTTACGTTTGTCTTTATGCAAGATAACACATTGATACATATGGCAAAGACCATGATGGAATTTGTAATTGAACATGACATCCAGTTGTTTGATCATCCAGCGCTGTCACCCGACTTAAATCCAATTGAAAACATTTGTCTTAGTAATCTCTAAACCTGCTGAAATGGTGGTTGTGCTATTGGTTTGGCAAATAATGTATTTTTAACTTAATTCATTTTTTGTTTTTTACATGTTTTAAACAAAAACAAAGAAAATATTGTCCTTTATTTGTATTTTAATTCTTGTGTTAAATATGTATTAATTATTAGGTTAAATTTAAAACGTTCATACACCTTTTTTTATTACTAAACTATTGCATGTGCTATTCATTTAGCGCAGAGTATATATATATATATATATATATATATATATATATATATATATATATATATATATATATATATATATATATATATTTATAAAATATTTTACATAGAATTATATTATGGTTTTGGTCTTTTTTTCTGTTCTGTGTGAAATGGAACCTTGATAATGTGTACACTTACATATTTTGAAGCAAGGAATTTTATTGGATAAAATTAATAACTAATAAATATAACACTTGTAAATTTGACCTTTATTGCAATTTTACTTGGGCAAGTTTAATTACAAAAATTCTGATGTAGTTCAATTTCTTTATTTTTATTTATTTTTTTAGATGTCATCTTGAATAGTTTAGTTAATGTTGTTACAAAGAATTGGAAAGTGGTCTTTTCTTAAACAAAAAAAAACTTAATTACTTATAAAAAATTAAATTTAATTACTTATAAAAAATCAAAGGAAAAAACTCTTAAGTGCTTAATACACAGATGTCTATAATTTTTGAAAAATTTCTTACCTACCCTGAGCTTATTAAGACCCCTTCCCCCCATTTTTCAAATTTCACTTGTTATGAGCAAAAGAAATTGCATCTTAAAACTAAAAAAAAAGATTTTCAGGTAGTATATTCTAACTTTTGAGACAGGTTTAGGTCTTAAAAATTAAAAAATATACTCACTTATGTAGAAAAAATTCCCACTCATCTGTTTGTTAAGACTACCTCCCCCCTTCCTCTTAACTTTCCCATCTCCCCCTATTTATTATATCTCAATAAAAATTCCCATTTATCCTTTTATTCCCACCCCACATTGTTTTAAGCACCTGAGAGTAACTTGACACTCATGATAAAACAGCTATGACCATATCAAATTGCTTCTTTAGTTATTGTTGACTGGCTGTTTTCTTAATAATTTTATAAAATTCAATCCTAAATTTTAAAAATTTATTAAAATTTTCACCAGGGGGTGAGTTGAATTATAAAAATGCAGATGCATAAACTCAATATTTTTTCAAAAGTTGTCATAAATAATTTAGAGTTATCACAATGAATCAGATTGTGGTCTTTCCTAAAACAGAAACAAAATGTACATCATTAGTAGATTAATTTAATGAGGAAATTTAAAATCATAATTTGGCTTTTTTATCTAATGTTTCAAAATATTTTATTAAATTTTTATTATTATACTAAATAAGTATAATAACTTTCTAAATTATATGTGACATACGTACCATTTTATATGATGGAGCATTTAATATTTTATTTTAATTTGGCATTTAATAATTTATAAAATTGAGCCCATTCATAGTCAGAATGTAATAATCATTAGAATATCATAACAGATATAAACAAACTACTTCTGTTTTTTTTTACCTAAAAAATATTTTAAAGAAAATTGTTTTCACAGCTATAGGCGAGGGACTTCCAGTAAGGCAACATACTGCAATAGTGGTAAGTGTTATAGCTAATTCAGGAGGCGATGTTTCTAATTTTGTGCTATCTTTTTCAATTGTATTTAGAGTTGTGGAGGAAGTTGTAAATAAAGGAAGAGAAATGATTATAAAACATACTGGTCACTTGTACTCAAAATTTAGTCTAATGAAACTCTTTCAATCAATAGACAAATCATGGTTTTCTCCAGATAAAATAAAAGAGAGGAAATAGAAAGGAAAAGGAAAAAAGAGGGAGAAACTGGGTATCAATAAAGAGGAGGGTAGGAATTTTTAACTTAATTTCTATGAGTTGAAAATTACAAAATAATTACTAAAATTGTTTTTTTTTTTTAGTTTTGAGATACAGTTTCTTTGTTTATAATAAGTAAAATTAGAGATGCGGAGTCCCAAAGGACTTTATATCTGGATTTTTTCCTGTTCTCTGATACCCAGAAGCTTTAAACATGTTGGTTAACTTATGATCTGCAAAAAGAAAAAAATTCATAAGATTTAATGACTTGAAACTTATTATTTTTCAGCCCAGAGTCTTTACCACCTTTATACCTAAGGACTACAGGTTCAAAAACTAAATATTTTAATTTTTTTCAATTTGTCATCCATAAATTTTTTTATATTTTTAGAGCTCTTGGGTACAAAAAAGGAGTTTGTGACTTTTTGTCTTTTTGTGACTACCAAACCCAAGTCTTTTTTACGACTCCGCATCCCTGAATAAAATTTAATAAATGGGGGGAGGGAGTCTTAATAAGCTCAGGGTGGGTGGGAAAACTTTCTGAAAATTATTAAACATTAACTTCCGCATATTAAGTTACTCAAAAGTACCACCTAATTTTTTCCTTTAGTTTTTCATAATTACTGTTTTATAACTAACAAATTAAATTAAATTTGACAATCAAGCTTGGACAGCAATAGCATGCAATCGCACTCTGTAACTGACCACGCTTTATTATTTTTTTTTTCATTACAATTTGATCACAGCTGTTTTAATGTTTTAACAATTTAAATACAATAAAAAAATCGTCACATTATGAATAACTTTTAATCATTGATCTTTTCTAAAGTTTTTCCTTCCTGTTGCAATTGAATGATTTAAAGGCTTTACTTATTTGTTTCTATTTTTATTTATTTGTTTCTATTTTTACAAAGAATCATTTGAAAGTTTTTTAAACTTGACTTACTAATGAAATGTTAAAAAAATTAACTTTTTTAAAACGTTATTAATAAAAAAAAATTGTGCAACTTATTAAAAAAAATATTTAAAAATATTTTTTTCTTTTCAATAATTTAAATAAAATTTGTTAATTTATTAAACAATCATTAGAAGTAATTTGAAAAACCATTTTGCATAACTTTAATTAAATGTTTCAAAAAATAAGTTTTAAATTAATTTATTTCAAACCCAATTAAAAACATAACGAGAAGAAATTTTTGCTTCCAGTTTGAGTTTTATTTCAAGCTCATATATATTTTTTTTGTTAAAAACTGTTTTCTTTTTTTTTCCTAGTTTAAGTTTAACTTAGCGTTTCTTTTTTAAGTGCATTTCTGAAATGTTTAAATAATGAAAACATTTAAACAGTTGTGGTCAAATTGTCAACAAAAAAAAATCATTGTATGGTCAGCAATAGTGTTCGATTGCATGCCATTTCTGTCCAAGTTTGAACCATTTTTTCTTTCTATTTAAGAAAAGACTACTTTCTAACCCTTTGAAACAACTCTAACTAAAGTATTCAGGACAACAACTAAAAGGAAAAAAAATAGAGCTACATTGGCATTTTTGTAATTAAACTTGCCACGGTGAAATTGCAATGAAGGTCAAAACTACAGGTGTTATGTTTATTTTTAAATCCTTTAAGTTGTTTTACAGGATTCCGTGCCTCAAAATATGTAAATGTACATATTTTCAACTTTCTATTGCACAAAAAACAGAAACAAAAACCTAAAACATTTTTGCAGATTTTATTTATATAAGATTTAAAATTTTATAAAAAATAACATATATATATATATATATATATATATATATATATATATATATATATATATATATATATATATATATATATATATATATATATATACATATATATATGTACCTTGATGTCAACCAAAGGTTTTTTCACCACTACTTCAGCCATAGCTTTTTTTAACAACACTGATGATGCCTGGTGATCTCTATGAATGTTTGGTCTAAAAACATTTTGAATAACAGTTATAATATTTTCCAATCTTTTCAGTGTAATTATAAATGTACATTATATTGTACCTGCTAAATTTAAAATTTTCAGGTAAAATAATTTCTAGTGCAATTTTATTGCATAATATTAATTTCATTTTATTATTGTTTACTTAATATTAGTCATCATTAAAAATAAAAGACATGAACTTATGATAAACATTTCAAATGATAAACATACAAGGCCTATTCTAGGAAAAAAATTGGGGCGGTAGTACCCCCCATCCAGCAAACTGAACTTGCACAACTTTTATACAACTGATAAAGTTTTCATCTGAAGGAGAAAATATTAGAAACATAAAAGTGTTTGGTTATAAAGCATTTTATAGAAAACACCAATTTTTCACCATAACAATATAGAAACAAGGTTGGCATAAAGTCACACTGTGAGTTGCCAAATTCAGAGTTAAAATATACATATATCACATTGTGAGTTTCTCACATTATGATATATATATACTTTTAATTTTAATTTACCTCCTTAAGGCCATGGAGGCCACTGCAGTTAAGGAGGTTACAACTTTTTCTCAACTCTATAACTCTGAAACAGAAACCATGACGAACAAGGCTGCTGTGTTCAGAAACAAGTTGAACACAGTACTACCAGGGACATGGTGGGGATTGAACTTGGAATTTCTGCTTATAAGGCGGGCTATCTACCACGACACCACAACCGCATATGTATGCATGCATGTATGTATGTATGTATGTATGTACGTATGTATGTATGTATGTATGTATGTATGTATGTATGTATGTATGTATGTATGTATGTATGTATGTATGTATGTATGTATGTATGTATGTATGTATGTATGTATATATATATATATATATATATATATATATATATATATATATATATATATGGTGTGTTCCACTTTTAACTTGCATTTCACTTGTAACTCAATAAACAACTCAATTTTTAATTAATAATATAACAATTAATAAAAATTCCATTTTTAACTTTTATTTCGTAACAAGTCAACTATCAATAGTTCTCTTACGAAACCTATAATTAGCAATTTTTATTGAAAGTTGTTGGTCTGAAGAATAAAACAAGCAAAACATTTTTAACTCTGACAATAAAAATTTGTGAATCGAATGATGTATTGTGAAAAGTGTTGAAAATTTTTACAATATTGTTGTTAATTTAATTCCTATGCAAAAATAAAAAAAAGTTTCTTTAGAGGTTAACGACTAAGGAAAATAAACAGGTTATCTTAATACCATGAATTTAACTTACATCACTTATGTTACTGGGCAATTATTAATGAGTATTTCCTTCAAAATGAGCTCATATCTGTGCAACAAAAATTATAGTTAAGCAGATAACTTGAAGAAAAAAGTTTATTGCTTGTGGCAGCTGAAAAACTAGTTAATCCAATATTAGATTATTAGTAAAACCATTGTGGATATCGCTCATTATACTGGCTGAGGAGGGTGGAAAATTGTTTGCATGTCTTCATATTTAATGCCACGTGTTTCTCCTATTTATGCCATGTGTTTCTTCTACATACAAGGTAATTTTAATCAATTTAAAAGGCCTTGATTATTCAGGCCTAGATTGGTCTTATTTAGATAGGCAACTTAAGATGCCCGGAAAAATTTTTTTAAATACTTTTTAAAGAACTTCATTTAAAATATGATTATCATAATTTAAACAACCAGTAGTTTCATTAGTGTCAATTATTTTAAGATAATTTGTTTTGTATTTAAAAAAAAAAGTTTATTAACAATTTATTTTTTTGCTTTGTCATTTGTTTTTAATCAGTCATTTTAATCAAGTCATTTGTTGATTAAAAGCAATATCAGTGGTTATAATGTTTATAGAGTAACTTATTTTTTTAAGTTAAGAAACAAAAGAATTGCAATTGAAATTCCAGGCATTTTAACTTTATAGAAATAATCGGTTGCAATCTTAATTAGAGGATTTTTCATTAAATCTTGTTGACATTATTGATTCTCAAAGAGTTATAGCAAATTTCAAAAAACCTTTTTTTGTGTAAATAACAAAAACATTTTTTAAAAACAAGTTTTTACTTATGTTACACAAATTCAAAATAAAAATGTTTTTTAATTATCTTTAATTATCTTTATTCTTTAAAGCATCTTTATTCAATACTTTTATTGTAAAAAAAAAGATTTAATATCAACAAATGTATAATGATAGAAAATTTCAGTTGTACAACAAAACCATTGGAAAAATAACTATTTCATGCATTTTTAAACTTATTTTACATCAAAATTGCAAAAGTTCTTTTATCATTTTCTTTATAAAAAAAAAAAAAAACACTTGACCAACAATAAACTGAAGATGCCAGCTTCATTTCCAGAGTATAAAAATTCAGTTTATGCAATGAAATCACAGTGAAGTATGATATTGGAAAGTAAAATGATTTTCAGAACATTTAAAATGACAATAAAGTAACTTTATTATTAAAAATTTTTATTTTACTTTAATGTTTTGTTCAATTATTTGTTCTTACTTCAATCATTTGTTCTTACTTCAATGCATATATGAAAAAAGCTAATAAAAAGCTATAAAAAATTAATTCTAACCAAATAGTGGGTAGTATGCTCAACATGATATTTTTTGCAATAATTTCATTTAAAGTGAATGAATAAATGCCTAGATAAAAGTGTCTACCAATTTTGCTTTCCACTAAAATTAGATTTTTAGTTAATTTGTACTTTTTTCTAAATATTAATTTTTAATTTATTATGCAGTAGTGGTGTAGAACACTTGTTTTATAAGAGAGAATTTATAGCGAGAATTTATATTGAGAATTTATAGCCAGAAGTTCCAAGTTTTATCCCCACCATGCCCCTGGTAGCAAAGTGCTTAACTTTTTCTTTACACAGCAACATTGTTTGTCAAGGTTTATGTTTCCCAGTTAAAGATTTAAGAGAGGGTTATAAACATAACAAAAAAAAAAACTCCTGGACTGAAATGGCCTTCTCGGCCTTGGGGAGGTGAATAGCATTAAAAAAAAACAGTATAGTAATTTTACAGTAGTATATATTTTTATATAGGTATATATCAGGTATGTGGAGCTGAGCTGGAGCATTGAAGCCGCTGTTTTTTGTTGAAGCTAGAGCCATAAAAAAAGAGCGGCTCTCTGCGCTCTTTTTTTTTTTTTAATTAATAAAATGTATGTTTTTTTTCCTACTATACACAAACATTGTTCATTTATTGTTTAACTGATTTGTTGAATGAATTATTTAATGAGTTTTTATTTATTTTTTAATATTTTTTTTATCAGTTATGGTCTTACCAAAACATAATAAAAATGAATATTTAAACAATTTTGTGCTTAACAAAATACTATCGTTGAAAAGCATTTTTTATTATGCTTTATTAAAAAAAAAGTAAAGTGTATATGGAAACATTACAATGTTGCATATATTGCTTTATATAATATTTTTATACTGATACTATGATTTTAAATATTTGATGCACGATTTAACGATCAAAGGCTATTCTTACATTTCAAATTATACTAAAGCATGAGATCGTTAAATTTAGAATGATGAATTTTGTTTTAAAACTTGTCACTAACACATTACTAAAATTTTTTTCTTTGCGTAATTACATTAAGTAATTACAGTATTAATTAAAAACATTAACAAACAAGTCAAAATTTTTTTCTTAATTAAAATAGCATTGAAACATTTAGAAAAATGAAAAAAATTCTGCACATTTATCTACAAAATCCTTCTGTATCGTTACTTCCAATCGCTAAAGAATCTTAATCTAGTAAAACTATTGTTTATATGGTCATAAAACAATACAAGAGCTCTCTATCTATCGAACAAGCAAAAGGATCTGGAAGAAAGAGTGGCTTTAAGGATAAGAAAGCAGCAATTAGTATTCAACGATCATTCACACAAATCTTGGCTTATCAAACAGAGAACAACACACAAGGTATAAAGTTTCAGAGTTTTTTAAAGATTAAATTTTGGCAAGCAATATGCAGCTGTGGTTTGAGGTCTAGAACTTTTGTTACATCGCCAACTTTAAACTCGGATATTTTCATCAAAGAATACTTGCATGGTAGACTTTTGCAATTTTATCGAAGTCACGATGTCCCCTGTTAATTCTGGTCTAATCTTGCTTCTTGTCATTATTCTAAGAAGAGTGGTACAGTTCGAGAGACATCAAATTCATACCTAAACTTGTTTGAATTTATCAATCTGCACACAGTTCCATACCATTGAAAATACCATTATACCATTGGGGGAACCGGCAAAAGATATTTGCGTAAGACTGGCAAAACACAATAAATACAGTAAAAGATTTTATTAGAAAGTGGACATTAGTAGGAAAAAAAATTGTCAAAGACAAAAGTTGATGTCGTCAAATAGCGTAAATGTTTGCTTATTTATATGAAATAATGAGAAATATTAAAATAAAAAGCACTTTTATCTTCAAGTTCTTTAGATTAAAATAAATATTTTTTGTAGTTTTTGCATTAGTTAAACTATTTTTCATTTTTTTGAATTTTTTATCATTTTGAATTTAATGATCGCATGTTTTACCCAGTAGGAACGGGACATACAAAAGAGGTCTTTTAAACGTCTTTGGAGCATTTTGAACATCTTTTGAACATTCAAAATACATCTTTTGTAGGTCTCGTGCCCACTGGGTATTCAGTGGGCACAACCTAAAAACGTTTTGGATGTCTTTGGGATGTTCAAAAGACGTCTTTTTTAAGTAATAAAGTCATTTTTGATTTTTTTTTAACTAAGGTGTTTTGAAAAACGGCTGTAGATTACTAGATAAATTTTTTTCTTCTATCATTTGAAAAAAAAAAGTAAATAAAATTATCACAAACAAAAAGTTTAAAACAATTAAATTAGTAGATTAATAACAAACCTTCGTTTACTGTCTTTTGAACTTTCATATTTCTTGTCGATTACTATAAAATACAAGTTTAAATGTTATTTGATACTAAGGAGTAAATTGAAAGGTTGTTGAACCATGATAGTGATTTTCAATCCTATTAAAGGAATTTATTTTGTAAAATTTTTTAATCATAGAAAAAGCTAATTTTTGTATTCTTGTAAAAGAACAAGAAAATTGTTACTGATTTTTATATTCTTTTTAAAAAAGAAAAATATTGTTTTAAAAGAAGAAAATCATTACTAGTTTCTATATTGTAAAAGTTTTGGTCAAAAACAAATAGCTAAAAGAAAATAAATATAAAATATTATTGTTGCAAATAACTTAAACTTTAATATAATTGACCATTAGTGATAGGTGACAAATTTATAAGATTTGAAACAGTTAAAGAAATATTTAATTTATTACTTAAAAAAACTCTTTTTAGATATTGTGCTTTTTGGTATCGGATATTACACAGTTGCTAAAATTGCAGTATAACTATTGCAAAATGACATTAAAATGTTTATTAACAATTACATGTTTTGTAACTTACTAATGTTGTCATGATAATAAAACTGTTTAAAATAATTTATTACATATTTATAATAATAACATTATTATGTTGACATGATAATAAAACTGTTTAAAATAATTTATTACATATTTATAATAATAACATTATTATGTTGTCATGATAATAAAACTGTTTAAAATAATTTATTACATATTTATAATAATAACATTATTATGTTGACTGAACATGTATTCTCTAGATTCAAAATGCTAAAAAAAAAACTAACAAAATGATTTAAACTAACAAAATGATTAAAAGGCAGCTAACTTAATCAGAATTTATAGATTATAAAATTATATAATGTATAATAGTATATATAACATAATTATGTATGCTTCCAGTTTAACTTAAATAAAAAAAGTTTTTGTGGACAGTAATTTGATAACTATTTTTAAGTTATATTTATTTTCTAACTTTATTTATTGCATGTAACTTTTTTTTAACCATGTCTGTCAATCAACTTACAACTGTGAAGAGACATTCCTGTATTTTACAAATAATAATTCTTACAATAAAAAATTTATTACAAAACAGTTGAATAAATCAAAAAGAAAAAAATTCAAACAAACAAATATTAGGCAGAAATTCCAATAAGAAAACTTATTGGAAAATGAGATTAGAGAAAGAAAAAAATTAAACAAAATTTATAGATAAAAATAATTAGGAAAAAATAATTAAGCAACCAATAATAACTCAGAGTCATGATTTCTTATTTTTATCACTCTTTATTAGTACAACTTATAATGGACTTTCAGAGATTGAAAAATAATAGATCGACAAATAAATTTGTCAAAGAATGGAGATGATTTAAAACTGGCTTAAACAGACAGTCGCTGATGTTACTATCTGCTTAAGTAGTGCTAAATGTACAACTAATATACAAGATTAAAAAAGTTATAAAAATTACTTCTTACCATCATTTGATTTGTCTTTCTGGACTTTATCTAACTTTTCATCTTTAGACTTGTGTGAAGACTTTTTTTTATTATCTTTATTATAAACCCTCCTTTGTGGACTAATAGATTTGGAATGTCTTCTTGAACGATGAGGACTATTAGATCGATGCTTTTTAGTATCTTTATGGGGACTTCTTGAATGAGATTTGTTTCGCTTTGGGCTTCTTGATCGAAAGCTTCTTCTTATGGTTCTATGAAGTGAGTTACTTCTTGAACGCCCCTTGTTGTCTCTTCTAGTGGTTTTATGAAGAGAATTACTTTTTGATCGCCCTCTACTTTTAAAATTTCTTTTTAAACTTCTGCTACGAGATCGATCTTTTCTTTTAGTTAAATTTTGTTCATTAACCAATCTATTTGTGTACCGTGTCCTTGAACGAGTTCTTGACCGTGACCGAGATCTTGACCGTGTTCGTGTCTTTGATACTGACCTATTTTTTTCTTTTTTGCTTTGAGATAAAGATCTTCGATTTGAAGACAGTTTTTCATTTGTTTTGTTTTTTTTAGTTTCAACGTCTCTATCTTCATATTGGCTAACAGCGTGGAGAGAGTCATTTAATGCACCACCTGGTGTTTTATTTTTATTATTTAAGGGTTTTTCATTAGATTTTTCAAGTATATTTTCTACTTCATTTTTTTCAACAGTAGTTTCACTAACATTTAGTCTTTTATTAATATCATATGCTATTTTTTTAACAAATTCCATCGGATTGCTTCTCCTATCAGTACGCTGTTCGATTCTTCTGGCTTCAGCCTCGGCATTGATACGAATATCTTCACTATCATCAATTTTTTCTTTTGCAATTAGTTTTTCTAAGTTAGTTTTTTTTTTTAAACTTTTATCTATTTTCTGCATTTTACTAATTTTTGTTTTTTCAGAACCGTCATCATCTTCTACCTTTTTTGCCTTTTCAACTTTTCCTTCTTTTTTTTCTTTTTCTTTTCTATTTAATACATTTTTTTCTTTTTTAATATCCTTTTTTTTTTCATCTTTCTTTTCAGGCTCGTTCTCTTTTTTTTGTATTTTGGTACTTGTTCGATCAACTACTTTTTCCTTTTCATTCTGCCATTCTCGTCTTTTATCTTTATGTTTTTCTTTATCTTTACGTAAACTTTCTACATCATTGCGGTCATTTTTTTCAATTTTATTGCCAACTTCAATTTCACTTTTTTCATTCGGTTTGTCTTTTTTTATCTTATCTCCTTCACATTTTTCTTCCCTAAATTTCCTTTTGTCTTTTAGATTTGATTTTTTATGCTTTTCATCACTGCTGCATTCTCCAGACTTTTTCAGTTTTTTTTTTGATTCTCCATTGTTAATTTCTGTAATATCCGGTACTAAAGACAGTTTAATTATAAAATTATAAAAGTTTAAACTTTTACATAACACATTTTTCATAGTTAATAGTCATTAAATAGCTTATAATATAGGGGGAAAAAATAATATTAGAAAAAACTTTATTTTACTTACACTCCATTGCCTTTTTAATTCTCCCTAATACAACAAGTAACCTTAATAAAAAAATATATTTTAATTCTCCCTAATACAACAAGTAACCTTAATAAAAAAATATATTTTAATTCTCCCTAATACAACAAGTAACCTTAATAAAAAAATATATTTTAATTCTCCCTAATACAACAAGTAACCTTAATAAAAAAATATATTTTAATTCTCCCTAATACAACAAGTAACCTTAATAAAAAAATATATTTTAATTCTCCCTAATACAACAAGTAATGTTAATAAAATAATACATCTTATTAGTTTTTAAATTTGGCATTAAATTCTTACATATAATGGCTCGCCATACTATCAGATTAAATACAAAAAACTGTTTTTTAAAGCTCCATACTATGACTAAATATATGAAATTTCCTATAAACTTATTGTCACAATTTTGTTTCTTGTTTTAAAAGCTCACAGTTTTTTTAAAAGTCCTACCAATAGCTAAAAATAAATAAACAAAAAAATTACACGATTTTCTACTTAATTGCTTATAAACACTATAAAAAATGTTGGTTATTATTACTAAAGTGAAAAAAAGTTCTTACTCAATCACATATGGATATACAGACATAAAAGAATTTTGTTAATATTTACATAGATCTAATATTATGGCAAGCCATGTGTTACATATATTTGTTTGAAGTTAGTAATATATATAGCAAAAACAACTTTTTATAGAACTTATGAATAAAATTTAAACAAAATATAAAAAGTTGTAGGAAAATAACTCAATTTCCTTGTTTAAAAAGTTCATCCCTGAATAGAAATTTAAAGGTGTATATATATATAATATTTATGGGGCTTTAGTACATATATTGATTAAGGGTTTAGGTTTAGGCAGGTATATTTTACATATGAAGAACTTGGATTATGGCAAAAAAGAATTTTTTTTCATTGTTATCTATTTTTTCTTCTTTTTTTGAAAAAAAACTGTTAAGTTTTAATTTATATTTTTATTTATATTTATTTTATAATATTTATACAGGTAAGAACATTGAGTCTAATAACAAAAAAAAAAACAAAAAAAAACAACAAAGGACTATAATATAAATAATTGAATATAAACTAATAACATGTTTACCATGAAACAAATTTTTCAGCTTCTGCTCCAAGAAAAAGTGTTAAATCATCCACCATTTCCTTTTCATTTCTCTTGTTTGCTATCATCACCATTATGTATTCAGGGAGTTCATCATCTAAATAAAACATTAAAAATTTAGATTTTAAACATTTTTGATTTCTTATAATCAGCACTAGTAATAGTAACTTGTATTGTTATTTATTAACTTTATAAAATTTTTTAAATTTAATACTTATGATATAAATGTTGCTTTTATTCAGGAAAATATTCAGGAAATGGTTATGAAGCACTTTAAATTCCTTATCACCTCAAATATGGGAATTGCCTATATGCTGACACCAAAGTATGCTGCAGAAGGATTCTATTTTGGTGAGGATAAGACTGATAATAGAAACTTGTATTGTTATTTGTTATTTTAACTTAATAAATTTTTTAAATTTAATACAAATGTTGCTTTTATTGACATTAAAAAATTTTTTAAATGTAATTTTAATTTTAATGAAAAGTTTAATTCTTTTGTCCACAAAAACTTTTTTTAATTTTAGATAATAACAACTTGTTTATTAAACAAACAGTTTGTCCATAATAATATCATAACAACAAATATATAAATAAAATATTCCTAGTATACAAATTCTAGAGTTCTGAAAAATTTGTATGTGCAGATTTTCGCTGATAAATTGTGTGCATACAGTCGCATAATTATGCGCATAATTTTTTTTTTGCTTTCAAATCATTAAAAACCGTTAAACAGATAAAAAACAAGTTTTAATTCTAGTTTTAATGAAATTTTCAATTAATGTGCTTTTGCAACAAAAAAAAGATCAGTTTTAATAGTGGAATTAAAAGTTAAAATCTTGATACAGTAAAGAGAATTGGAACTTGCATTGCCTGTTAAAAGACAGTTCAATGGGCAAAAAATCACGTCGCAGCACATAAACGAACATCATGTCCAAATGATAGTGAAGATCAGAAACAATTGTTTGCAAAACGAAAAGCCGAATCATTAATCAACTTCAACAACAACATTATAATCTCAGCTGAAACTTACAAAGTAGTTGACAATGTGATAAATCCTGAAGAATTAAAAAAAGAAATCGATATGAAATTAGCAAAAAAAAATTTTCGAACTGGAATATCTCTTCGTCTTGTTGAATCTGAAGCTTTTAAGGATTTGATCAAAGCACTTAATCCATTGTATGCATCATCAATACCATGTGCGAAAATACTGTCAGGTTTGCTTCTTAATAAAAAGTACGCAGAATGCTCCACAATTTTGGAAGAAATTCTCAAATCATCTGAAAATTTAACGCACTCGTCAGTGATGGTTGGACATTGGATATTGGTGGCAATCATATAGTGAATTTTTTTATCAAGGCACTCAATACAAAAGCGTTTTTCTAGACTTCAATCAACACATCGGGCATAATTTAAAACGTTGCAGCTGTTACTGGTGCTATCATTGAAGTAATCAAGACTCTTGGTCAACAAAAGTTCGGAAGCATTATCACTGACAACGTTCCAATAGAAATTTCCACACATCTCGACGTATGACTGTGCCGCACACCGTATGAATCCTCTTGTTAAGGACATTTTGAGTACTGCTGAAAGTTCAAAGACCATCAAAGAAGCTGAAAAAATTATCATGTTTGTAAAAAATCATCACATTGTTAAAGCAAAGTTTGATGAAAAGAGAATTGCAGCTAATATTCATCGCTCACTCACAACGCCTAATTTAACTCAATGGCTCAGTCATTTTAATTCCATGAACGACCTTGGGGCAAAGTATGTTTTAATTCAATTTGCGGATAAGGAAAATGCATCTTTGAAAGAAATTGCTCCAAAAACAAATTTGGCCGCTGTTTTGACGCTAATTAAATCAAATGCTTTCTGGGATAGCTTTGCAAAACTTGTGAAAGATATTGAATATCCTTCTAAAGGTGAGCTTCCAATCATCCATTTTTCTACGGGAAAGGGAAAAGAAACGGAAAAATGATCACGTGAGCATGCACAGTTTTCTTTCAGAGCAATAAAAACTTTTATTATGCATGCTCACGTGATTATTTTTTCCTTTCCTATCCTGTTCTCATAGAAAAACGGATGAGTGGAAACTCGCCTTAACATCATTGGAAGATTTGAAAATGATGATGCTCCATTATCTTTGGTGTACTATTATTTTGGTAATAATAGTACACAAATGAGAAAAATATTCAAATCCTACAGTTGCTGTGACAGTTGAAAGTAAAATGATTGACTTTGTTGGAGAAATGACAACACTGACAGAAAAAATAAAATAGACAATTTTCAAAATAAACGCAAAGAATTATTGGAACATTGTTGGGCGTAGAAAAAATCCTGCAGTCTTTGAAGTTGCAAAATCTATTGTTGAAGTGATTTGTTTGTCAGCAACAGCAGAGAGAAACTAGTCAATTTTTCAATTTATTCATTCACAATTGAGAAATCACTTGACTAACGCATAACATTTGAATGATATGCACATATATTCACTGATATGCACATAAGTTCTGAACTCTAACAAATTCTAAAAATATAAACCAGAAAACACACATCCAGATTTCATGCAAATACCAAATGAATTAGTTATATTTAAAAGGGCAAAATTGGCATGTTTTTTAATTATTCCTAAAGAATTGAATAACCTGTTTAGTTTTTTTATGTTTCAAATTTTTTTATGTTGCAAAATAAGTTGAATCTATGAAACTTCAGTACCTACAAATTTACAGAGATGTCAAGTTGATAAATGGATACCATGACAGTTATTGCAATTTTACGAAATCCTTAAAGAGAGTTAATAAAAATTTTTTAATAATAGAGTTGAGAATTAAAAAAAAACTTTGTTATTGTTTGATGTCTTGGTTTGTAAGTGTAAATAAGATTAAACTGCAAATGTAAAATCGTCACTGAAATTTGTAAATATAAGCTTTTGGTTTAAATTATCTGTAAGTGCAAAAAAGAAAAAAAAAATCACCCATCATTAAACTAAATTTTTTTTGAGAATGCACAGTTATTGTATTGGTAATTTCAAAAGTATTAAAAAATGTATTGTTGTATGAATTGGTAATTTCCAAAGAATGCATGGTATTTTAGGCCTTGTGATGAATAAAAAATGCTTAACACATTTGCATAACAGAGTTTATGATATAAAGTGGAAATAAAATTATTTTTATTTGCTTTTCATATTTATCGACATTAACTATGAACTACTGCAATTTACTAAATTATATCAAAACTAGTTGAATAAATAACTGAAAACATTGTAAAAATGTTTTATTTAATGTTATCAAATATTTACTTAGATTTCAGATTTTTTTAAATATAAAAATATTAAATTACTTTCTCAACATTTTTTGTATATAATTAAATAAAAAAGATTTTGTTTTATTTCTAGAATACGTATTAACAGTTTTGCAAATAATAGACATTTTTTATTTTAAGTCAGAAAGTGATAAACTAAAAACTTTAAATATTAGAAGAAAAAAAAAAAAAAAAAAAAAAAAAAAAAACGAGGAACAGTTAATATTTTTACTAGCAATTTTACATAAAATTGAATTATCTTTTTTTACAAAATGATTGATATATGCTTGTGTTATTAAAATGTGTTATGAACACTTGTGTTATTTGAACAACTGTATGCTTGGTACATATTTTAAATGTTTACTAGAAATTTCATTCCTAATTTTTTTACCAGCACTTTTATGTTAAATTATTATATATATATATATATTTTTAAATGATTGATATACAATCGTGCTATTAAAACATGTTATTAACTTGAGTTATTTAAACAATTATTTTGTAATTTTAATGTTTAAAAGGAATTTCATTTCTACTAAAACAAAATAAAAAGTGGAATAAAAGCAACAGTGGAATGCCTAAACAATAGATAAATTTGGTTAAAAAAATAAAATTTGCATATTGAACAGTATATAAAAATGGTTCTGCTAAAATTTAAAATCAATTAGATTAAAACTAAGCATTACACTGTTAAACATGATAAATATATTTTGTATATAGGCTACCTTTTTTTTAAGCATACATGCTTTTAATAAACGCTGCGCTTGTCAAATGATAAAATCGTCCACTACATAGAAATCAAACAAATAATATTTTAAGAGTCTAGCTAACTTAATTAAAAATAAATTTTTTTAAAGTAATGTTTTATTGACTGTTGTTGCTACATTTCAAACAAAAATAAAATTGTCTAAATAAATATTTTACAAGCTTGCTAAATTATTTTGCTTAGAATAACTTTTATAACTATTTTGTTTATCGAGTTCATATTAGAACAATAGACCAATTTTTCTTCAGTAGCAGTTTTCGTCATCTGATGAAATCTTAAAACCCATTGAAGAAGTCATCAGTAAAGAATTAAAAGAACTGAAGCTAACTAAGCCATTATAACAAATGGGCAATGAAAAATACTGCTTGGATTAGCGATCAACCTAAAGTGTTTTGCAAGAAAACTAATTATGATTACAATCTTATTGACAAAACTAAAAACAGAAGAACAAAAGTGGACTTTTTACAACTTTAAATGCAGAGCATAGAAAAATACTACATAGAAATTTATAAATTAATTTTAAAATTAAATTAATAATAAAATTAAGTTAATAATAAAACTAAGTTTATAAATTAATTTTTAATTAATCTAAAGAATAAAAATCAGCAGGGGAGTTTCAATTTAGATGCGGTGTTAAGGCAGTACTGTATGTGGTGTTATATGTGGTGTTAAGGCAGTACTGTACTGTAGATATGGTGTTAAGGAAGAACAAGTACAAATGATTCAAACAGATATAGATACTGACACCTTCTGCATTTTTATCTTATTTTATATTAGAAGTATACCGGATATTTTTGCCGGATATGCCAGATAGTGAACTTTTCTCAATTTCTATTAGTGTTCATGAAGTAAAAATAAGTTTTGCCTTTCTACATTAAGTAGTGTTTAAGATTAAAAAAAATAAAATCAATAAAAAACTGGTATAACACAGGTATATGCGTTAATAATGTATAAAGAAAAATCGTTTTTTATAGCAAAATTTTTGTTTTTTTTTAATTACTATTTTCTATACTTTGTCACACATATACCATGTCATACATACATCTTGAATACTATTTATTGTAGACTTGTTTTTTCTTTATAAACACTTATAGAACTTTAGAAAAGTTCAATATCTGGTAAAAATATCCGGTACACCTCTATTTTATATTATTTTACTAATGCTGATATAGATAGTTTTAAACTAAATGTAAGATATAAACCTAGATATTAAACTAGATAGAAGATATAAGCAAACACAACGTCTTGGGAGTTTGCTTATATCTTTACAACTGAGGACTACTGAAGTATTTTCTTGAAGCATTTTTGTACTGGCATTCATCCATTTGTAACAATCAGGTAAAACCACTGTAATACAATAAGAAATTGCTATCCAAAATACAATTAAAAACCTCAACATGCAAAGCATTTTTATGAAAAAAGATTTATTACAAAAACTATTAAAAACCAATCCACATACAAATATTACACCATAAAATGCAAAGAAGCCTTACTTAATTACCAATTGAAAATTGAAATAAATCTAGTTAAAAGAAATAACATTAGTAAATTTTATAATTATGCTAATGTTAAACTGAATCTCCCTAATAAAATCTAATATCTCATTGAAAAATTTACTAAGTTAACTTCCAGTAATATAAAAATTGCTAATATGTTATGTAGTTACTTTAGAAGTGTTTAACAGAAGATAATAGTTACTCTCCTAATATCAAAAGCTCTTTATCCTATCAGATTTGAATCATAAGCAATGTTGCACAGGATAGTGTACTGGGACCAACTTTGTTTTTATCATTTATTAATGACATGTCATCTATAGTTAACAATCTTGAATGTACAAAATTAAATTTTTTAAAAATTATATAGGTTATTTCATATTACAATTCAATTTTTTGTTTGTTAACCACAATTGAATTGTTGCTCTTAATTGAATTATTCTTTGGCTAGAAACTTGGTAATTCCCAACTGCCGTGCCAAGTGTTCTGCACATAGATTAACACATGGTCTAATGCAGCATTGTATTAATTTAACTTACAAGTTAGGTAATATTTTAGATTGGTTGTTTAAGCCAAAGAATTATAAATTAACTATAATTAAATAGTTATTTTTATAATGAAATATCTTTAGCTTTCTATTAACAAGTTACAAATGATTGAATACCATGGTAACAAATGATAAAAAATTCAACTTACCAACATAACAATCCAGAGCTTGCAATTGCTTTTTTATTGTTTTCTAAAAGAAACAGAAATCTGTTTATAATAAACAGTTATATATATAGCACAAATTATTATACATATAGTATAAATAAATATTATATATATATAATAACATTATATATAGTATAAATAAATTTTATATCAGTTATTTAATGTTATCATATATATTATTTTCACTTTTTTTTTCTTCATCTTTTTAATTCATAGTCTTATTTAATTATATAACATTATGTTACAATAATCATATATAATCATTTAATATTTAATAATTTAAAATAATCAATAATTTATATAATCAAATAAAAATTAAAAAGAAATCATTTATAGGAAAAATAAAAATTATTTTAATAGTATTCCTAAAACATAAGATTAAAACATAAATAATAGATAAATATAAATAAAACAAAGATTTTGGCAATATCAGTTGTATCCTATCTGAATCTTAATTTTTTAGAGAAAAACTGGCTTCATTAAAAACCATTAGTAAAAAAGAAATATTTAGAAAAGTATATAGTGTTGAACAAATCTGAGAACAAAACTGGGATTGGTTTTTTAGAAATAAGTAATAAATTTGAGAAAGCATAGGGGTCGTCCATAAATTACGTCACACTATAAGTGTGTGTGTGTGTGTGTGTGTGGGGGGGGGGTTGGGGTTGGTGGTTTTGTGACGACTCATTCAAAACTCGCTTCTTAAGTGTTACGATTTTGTGATGAAGGGGGGAGGGGTTGCAAACGATCAAAAATTGCGTGACGTAATTTATGGACATCCCCATAGACAGGTATAGGATAAATATTAAAATTGAACAATTTCTAGTCAAACAACTGGTACTAAGCTAATTTACTTAGCTTAGTACCAGTTGTTTGACTAGAAATTGTTCAATTTTAATTGAAGTAAATACTTTTTCTGTAACTTACTTAATAAAATAAAATTTAAAGGATTGTTTAAGGCTAGAGAAGACATTACGCTTCTTGAATGTAGTTTGAATACTGACAGGCTGAGACAACCAGCTAGATGGAAGAAAAGTGATTTTATCTTTGATTTGATTGGATGAAAAGAGTAGTAGAGTGAAAAAAACTAGTTATGGTCCATTAGGGTATTGCTCTGTATGTGAAGTATTAATAAAGATCTGAGCTATACTGATGACAGCTCCTAAGATGATTTTGAGATTGATAATACCTCAAAAAAGAACCCTGTTAAAAATATGTTTAACATTCCAAGAGATATTTTTTTTTAAATTCCCAGAACTGTTGGGATGGAAATATCTACTACCAAGCAAAATCACTTATCTGTTTATTTCTTTGTAATGCTGGTGAAAATATTTAGAATGTAACATTATAAGGCACAACAATCCAGTCAAAGCTGTTAACCATTCCAGGACTAGAACACAGTAGCAATGAGTACCGTTGACCTAATTATTTACCTAGAATAAACCCTGCATACATACAACCAATACATCAATACTTCATCAAGTTCTGTATATAAAAACAAGCTTTACTGCTTTTTCTATTCTTATATTAACTTCAAATGAATAAGTCCAGAAGTTGAAAAAAATCTTTCGATTCTATGGCGATACATTTTTTAAAACAAACTCACTCTTCAAATAACTTTTATCGAATAGAGCAGATTTGATCTCAATTTTAAATATTAGTGGTAAAAAACCTCTTGAATTCTTTATTTGTGAATACCATTGCAGTTTCATTCCATTTTAAGAAAAATTATACTATCTAATGTGTTTGCAAAATATATATGATCCAAAATATATACGATCTAATGTGTTTGCAAAGAAGTTTCCAATATATATAATTTTTTTCATTTGAAAAAAATGACAACATGTATTTTTCCTTAGTTTTGTTTGATTTTTTTGCAACTAGAAAGTTTGTTTCTCAATTTTCTCTATAACTTGTATCATTTTATATTTCATGACGGAAAAAACACATACTGAAGCTTTTTAGTCCCTGTGTAATGTTTTTACAAGAAAAAAGTTCACGACCCAGAGGTAACCCACTGTTTTAGAGTGGTAGCTCTCTTATCAAAGAAATTGAAGTTGGTGTATTGATGAGAGTTGATTTGGTTTAGTTTCACTCTTAAAATGCCACCAAAAAATACAGACATAAATATGTTACTACAAGAAATGCAAGAAAAAATCAAGCAATTAGAGAAAAAAATAGACAAGAAAGATGTTTTGATAAAAAATCTTGAAGGAAGGGTGAATGAATTAGAAAATAAATTAGACCAAGATAAATCAAAAGATTTAAATAATTGGAGTGAAGTCGTAAAAAGAAAAGTTAAAACAAATCAAAGCCAAGATGATATTATAAACACCGTTCTCCATGAGGAAAAAGAACGTAATAAAAGAAAAAATAATATTATTTTGGGTGTTAAATTAGCAAACCATGGTAATATTGACAAGAAAAAATTTGATGAAGATATGTTAAACGATATTTTTGACTCAATAAATGCAGACAAGAACAAAATAAAAAAAGTCATCCGACTCAAAACAAGAGACATACCACCAGTTATCATTGAGTTAGACAATGCGTCAGACAAAATAAGTGTATTAAGAGCTGCATACATTAACAGAAACAAGATAAACGAAATCTATTTTAACTCAGATATGACAGAATCCGAAAGAGATCTCATTAAACAGCTACGTAGTGAAGTTAAATTGTTAAATGCTAGCCTAAATCAAAACGATGAATACTACTACACTATAAGAAATTTTAAAATTGTGAAACTCATAAAAAAACCAAAGCAATACTGCCGTCCTAAGAAAAAACGCAGTAATCGCAAAAATTGAAAAATCGAGATTATTGCACCAAACGTTTTAACATCGTTTTCTGTGTAATAACGCTCTATATAAAAATATTGTGGTATATTCCGAAGTCATCAAACCCATAGTTCATTTTGCCGTAAGTTAAAAAAATATATACACACAAAATTTAAAAGTGGCTTTTTCTCAGAATGTCATTTTTGTTGTTTACTGCGTTTTTACTTAGGGCGGCAGAATAGCAATCATCATTTAGTTTGCATCAACCTGCAGTAATGGCTGTCCTTTCAACATATAATCCTGTATCTAATTCAATTCTAAATGCTAATGAAGACTGCCTTCTATCTGATAGTTTAATGATAAAAGATGTACATAGTAGGAAAGTTGGTGTTTCAAATGTTAGTAATTTAGATTTAGATCGACATAGAAATGATGGTTTATCAAATAATTTAGTGATATTGAACGAAAATTCTACAGCAATGTTAAAATGTTACCTTAAGTGCAGGTACACGAATGCAACCTCGCTCAATAACAAATTAGAACTTTTTTTATTGGAAATAGCCACATACAATCCTGATGTATTTATGATAAGTGAAACGTGGTTTATGCCCTCAAGCTTAATACATGTGGAGGATTATAATATTTTTAATAGTAATCGGTGCAGTACAAATTCAAGTAAATGTTGTGGTGGTGGGGTAGCTATCTATGTAAAAAATAATTGCGTTGCCTATGCTCCAAAGGAAATAGTTCTCAATGATACATCGGTTGAACAAGTGTGGTACGTTATTAAAATTGAAAACGAAAGCATATTAATTGGCTGCATATATGGTCCACCAGACGCATTAGAAGCACTAAATCAAAAAATTAATACTATCCTGAACAAAGCCAAAAATTATGTCGATAGTAAGAAATTTTCAGGTATTATGATAGCTGGTGATTTCAATTACCCGAATATAAAATGGAGTGATGAAAATGTTCAGACAGTAGCAAATAATGATGCATCAGCAACAAAATTTTTGGATAGCATAAATGATGTTTATTTACATCAAAATGTAATAAACCGTACTTTTAATTTAACTGCATCGTCATCAGAAGGCAGTACACTAGACTTAGTTTTGACAGATGCACCAGAGTGTATTTCATTGATACATCATAATCCACCATTAGGTAACATAGATAAAGCACATCACATACTATTTTGGCATTATGAATTACAAACGCATATCAATACAAAAGAATCATATGGTAAATCAACATTCAATTTTAGAAGAGGGAATTTTAATGGAATGAATGATGAGTTCAAGTACACTGATTGGTCAAATCTGTTCCACAATAAAAATATCAATGAATGTTATGAAATATTTGTTAAAAAATATCAAGAGCTATCCAATAAATATATACCAAAACGTATTAATACTAAAAAGAAATTAACACCGTGGATTGACAAATTTACAAAACAGAAATTAGAGAGAAAGCAAATTTATGGAAGAAATTAATATCGAACAATTTCAAGTCATCAGATTTATCAAAACAATACAAACAACAGTGCAAATTAGTCGAAAAAATTGTTCAGCATAACCATATCGAATATGAGAAGAACATTATTGAAAAGTCAAAATACAATCCTAAAGTTTTCTATGAGTATGTGAATGCAAACAACAAAATTAAATCAGGCATAACGTCAATTTTCGATGAATTTGGCTATCTTCATACAAATAAAAAAGCAATTGCAAATATCTTAAAGGGATCCCTAAGTGCTCCAAACATATGATCTCATATGAAAGAGCATAAAAAAAAAATATGTAAGTTTTTTTTCTTTTTCACTAAATTGTAATAATAAATGCATGCTAACAAAAAGCTATTGCCGAAATCACTAAAAAACAACTCCATTTTGATTTTATTTTTTCACCATTGAAACTCGATTGTTAGTCGTTAAAAATCACGTTAGTACGTCACAACAATTTAAGAATATCTACTTCGATTTTCAAGTTGTGATTAAATAGTTAAGTTTTTTTAATTAGTTTTGCAAAAACAGTATAATAACATTCGGTTGAAAGACGTCCTTAAAAAAAAGTTATTAAGTAATAGTTTTAAATAGTTTAGAACTTATAAAAAAGTCTTACAGGGCTCGTATTAAAACATTAGAGCAAAAAAATTACTGACTTTAATTCGCATTTTTATACTGTTTGAAAAAAAAACTAATAAAAAAGAATTAATTGTTATTTTATTGTTATTATTAATTCTAATA